TTCGTCTCCTTTATATTGAACATATTATTGCAGAACACGAGATTCATTTTAATTTCTACAAAGTAATAAATTGGTAGAGTTATTAACTCTTAATTACTAATTTTGGGTTGGATTCATAATTTCTTCATCTCACTTAAAAATAAAAAGAGATCTTAAAAGGCACGACTCTATACCTTGATGCTAGTGTTTTTCTTATTACACGTAGGAAAAGATAATAATTTATTATTGCACATGTTAATAAAATATTTATACAAGCATCAACCGGGCCTGAGGTCCAATGGTTGGTCCCCAAGCCTTAAAGCTTGGGTGAGGCGGAGGTCAGGGCTTCGAACCCTGCCACCGCCGTGAACTCCACCAACTTGCAACCTAATGGTTGCGCCTCTCAAATGAGGGGGTGGAACGTTCACTATCTTAAAAAAATTTCAGCTGCTAACAAACTAACTTCTTAATCATCTACCTAGTCAAAAAAAAATATATATTTATACAAGCGCAATAGATGCATGATATATCTTGGTATTATTAATATTAATTTACTAACAAATATAGTTGCATTTTTACTAAAAAAATAAATTCATGGTTGTTAAGTATAATAAATACTCTATCGGTGTAATTTTAATTCTCCCACTTTTTCTTAATTTTGTTTATTAAAATAATTTATCAAATTTTATAAAAATTAATTATTATAGATTAAAATTTTATAGACTAAATTAATAGAGGTTAGAAGTAATTAATATTGAGTTTTATTAAAGAAATCATTATGAAATTGTAATAAGGTAAAGTTAGAAAAAGAGTTTTTAATGTTTTATTTAAAATAGAAATTGAAAACTAAGTTAAGACATCCATCTTTAACGTGGTCTCTATGTTGATTTTGAATAATATTAATATATTATTAAATAAATTAATGTATATTATAATATGTGGAGGGACCTCTAAACAAAATGAATCAATTGTATAATAATACTTTATAATAGTAAAATTACAATAACATATAAAATATAACAACAATAGTTCTCATATTTAAAGAATTGTAACTTAGTTAATAAAAAATTTTATTTTTTTATTTTATTAATTAAAATTTTATTTTTTAAAAAACTAATAAAAAATAAAATTTCATTAATTTTTTTAATTCTAACATGAATAGCATATTTTAAACTAAATTAAAAAAGATAATCTTAAAATACACACAAATTATCTTAAAACCATTCTAACACTAAAAGATATATATAATATATATAGTCCCACCTATTTATTATCAGACCTGTTGATAAAATATTTGTACAAGTGCAATAGATGCACAGACATGTGTTGGTTGCATTAATATTACTTTTAATAACAATTATTTTGACATAAAAAGAGGAAAAACGATGAGTAACAATTATGGTAAAAAAAGAAAATAATATAATTATAGTGTTATATAAAATTATAAATTTAACATTATAATTTATTATTAAATGATGAAATATATATAATATTATAAATAAATTTTTAAATAAAAAATAAATTATATAATAATATATTAAAATTAATATGTATTAGTTTTGAGTTTAAAAAAAATTAAAGTTTTAATTTATATATAAAAACTGAAACTTCAATTTAAAATTAAAAAATTTAATCAGTTTTTAAATTTAAATATTAATATTT